TGAAGAAATTAAGCGTATAGCAAGAAATCCTGGGGGAAGTTCAATGCAGGGTTTCTGCAGGGAATCCCTGCATTCCCTGTATCCCTCTCTTTAGAAGACTTTTCAGCAGTTCTCAGGCGAACCTCTCTCTTTAGAGGGGGTTTTCCAAATGGCTTATAATATTCTAACCTGAGAGGCTTATAGCATCGGGGATGTTGCCGGTGACCCTTCGTCCTGCGAAGGATTCGAAGTCTAAAACGCTGCGTGGAGGCGTGAGGCTGCAAAATAGAGACCCCTAGATATGCGCTGCAATTTGGCTCCAGGTTGCATTTCAAGCGATGTCAAGCTTTGCCAAAAGGAAACCCCTTTTCCCTTTTTTTCGGGGACCCCTTTTTTTGGGACCCCTTGTTTTCTTTTTTTTTTGTTTTTTTCTTAGCCCTGCAAAGGTTGGCTCGCTTGAAATGCAACCTGGAGCCAAATTGCAAGCATATCTAGGGGTCTCTATTTTGCAGCCTCACGCCTGCACGCAGCGTTTTAGACTTCGAATCCTTCGCAGGACGAGGTCAAATGGACGGACGAGTGCTAGAAGCCTCTCAGGTAGAATATAAGCCATTTGGAAAACCCCCTCTAAAGAAAGAGAAACGCAGCCTTCCTGGTCTTGATCCCCAGGCATTCGCGCAACTCCGACTACACGTCCAACGCTCAAACGGTTGCGTGATCTTGGCCTGGCATCCCTTTCCTTTTGGCAACTTACAAGCAAAAGGCATGTGCGCGGTAAAGCGGACCCGAAATCGGTCCCCGAAAATGGCCCTGTTTCGCAGACACACGCTAGATCCTCCACTGTGCATGACGGTACGCCCTGCGCTTACTGCACACATGGAACAAGCCCTTAGTCTAAGACCGGGAGCGTTGGCTGCAACAGCAAATAAAACTGACGGACCAGGCTCTTAGAGTAGTTCTGTGGAAAGGTTGCCCCGGCCACAAATGCCACATGCTTCAAAGCCTCTTCGCCACTCTCGGCTGTTCATAAACTCGCACAGGCCGAAGAGCACGCGAAGCCACGCTTGTCGCGAGACAACACCGCCTGCGGCAGACATAGCCACCTCCGTGAACTTGTCTTTCAGATGATGTTTCAAAAGACTGAAGGTTTGACATCGAGGGGTTGCATGTAGCTTGTGGCTTTCGGCGGCACCACGCAAAGCCAGATATTGGCATTGGCAGCCCTTCGCACCACGCGTTCACTCAGGTGCTGCGCGGCGCTGTCCATCACAACGCACAGCTGCTTGGAAGGAAACGAAGCAGCCAGAGTCTCCAGATCTGACAACACCTCGGTGATCAACTGGCTAGTTGCCCAGGATGATGTCTTACGAAAAACACGAATGTTCTCTGGCTGCGCGTCGCGCACAGCCCGCAAATCTTTTTGCAAGAATATGGATTTGTTTCCAACCAAGTATTGGCGCAGCCGCCGTTGCAGAGCAGGGTCTGCCGAACTCAAACAAATCAAAGTTACAGCGCCTCGAGACGGGCGCGCCCGCTTTGGCCCCACTCCTTGTCGCCATTGAGACCGCTTCACCACCGTGCCTTTCTCGTGCAGAAAGGATAGCTGAAGAGAAGACTCATCCAGGTTGACAAAGGCCAATTCTTTGTGGAACACTCCAGCTTGCTGCTCAAGCCAGTCTATCCAATGGAAAAACAGCTTTGCCTGGCAGGGCGCGGGGGCGCATTTTGAGCCAGTTTTGGCGGGGCGGGTTTTGGCCCCCCGCAAGAGATTTCGTCTTTCGGGAAGACCAGAAGCGGGGGGCGAGTTTTTGCCCCCCGCAAGAGATTTCCTCTTTTGGGAAGAGCAGGAAGAAGGGTCAAAAATTAGCCCCCCCCCGGCGTCTTCAAGGCAAAGGTCGCTTGAAAAGATAACATGCGCAAGCACGCGGGTTTGTTCCGGCCCAGCCTTCTCCACAAGTTCCTCGGCAGGGAGAAAAGAGCATGCCGGGATACGTTGGTAAGCAAGGCCCCACTTGGCGCGAAATCGTCCCCTTTGCTGCCCACATCGTAAGTATTGCGGACGGGGCCGGCCACGCCGGCACATCACGAGCCAAGAATGGAGCTATGCAGCGCTGGCTGTGCTCTCTTCTGCACGCCGCCGTGATTCGGCTGCGACGTTGTAAGTTGGGTCGGCAACGCCGCGGCTGTAATTCATGTCTTTCACCCAGCGCGAAGTCTGAAGTCCTGCTACATGCCTTTCAGCTTCGGCCAAGATGCGCTCATCAGCGGGCGCCTCCGGCCAGCAGAGTCGCACCATCTCCTCCTCTGGCAAGGAGTTGAACCACTCAACATGAGGAGTCGGCTGCCCCTGGCAAGATTTCCGTTTGCGTTGAAGAACCTCCACAAAGCCTTGCGCCGCATCCACGCAGAAGCCGCTGCACATGTACACAGTGAGAACAAGCTTCTTCTGGCGTGGGGTTAGGCCAGCTCTCTCCAAATGCCGAGCTTCCCTTTGCTGTCGCTTCTGGAGCCGGGCTATCTCCTTTCTTAAGTCCGCCATCGGCCAGGGACTGGCTTGAAGCTGGCAACCCTGCCGTCTGAAGCACATACACACACTGCTGTCCGAAATGCGCCCAAATGCAGAGATACAGAGACGCCCGCGCACACACACACAACCTTGCAAATCCACCGACACTGCTTCTGCGCGCAGAGCTGCCGACTGAGCACGCTGGAAACATCTTGTTTATAACCGCTGGGCGCGCACAGTGGAGGATCTAGCGTGTGTCTGCGAAACAGGGCCATTTTCGGGGACCGATTTCGGGTCCGCTTTACCGCGCACATGCCTTTTGCTTGTAAGTTGCCAGAGGAAAGGAAAGGGATGCCAGGCCAAGATCACGCAACCGTTTGAGCGTTGGACGTGTAGTCGGAGTTGCGCGAATGCCTGGGGATCAAGACCAGGAAGGCTGCGTTTCACGCTTGTTTTCCTGTTGGGGCTGCCGCTGTGGCTGCTGCCGGCGTTGCCAGAAAGCGCAACGGCAACGCAGCGCCGCCGGGGGTAAAATGAATCCAGCTTATGTTTGGGCTGCAGGCCTGTTGTGTGCAGATTGTGAAGTAACTTTGGCAAGCAAGGTGATTGCGATGTGTTGCTTGCAGCGTGAAGCTCAGAAACCTGCTCTGCGAAGCCTGCAGGACACAGCCCATGGAAGGATCCAACGCTCCAGCGCCTCCTGCGGCTCCTGCCTTTACATCAAGCCAGGAAAAGTTGCCAGAGGAGAAGGAGAAGTTGAAGGAGAAAGCTCCAGCATCAGCGTCTGCCACAGCTTCTGCCACTCAATCAGTCTTGCAAAAGCTGAAAGAGAAGCGTTCGATGCTCGCAGCCGAGAAGCGGCAAGTTGCCAAGCAAGTCCGCAAGGAAGCGAAACGCCTGGCCAAAATTAAGAAGGGTCTTGGGCGCTTGACAGAGTCGGAGATGCGCGAATGCCTGGAGATTAAAACCAAGAAGGCTGTGTGAGTTTCGCCTATGCCGAATGCCTGGAGATCAAGACCAATTGTGGCTGTGTGATTTTCACGTGTGCTGAATGCCTGGAGATGAAGACCAAGTGGCTCTCTGAGCTTTGCGCTTGTTTTCCTCTTGTGGCTGCTGCTGGCGTTGCCAGAAAGTGCAACGGCGATGCGGCGCTGTAAAGTTGAAAAAGAAGTTGGCGCGTGGCATTTGTTTGAGTAAGCGTGGTCAGACGGATGTCAGTCAACCATGCTTTGGCGTTTTCACAGTGCGTGGCATGAGCAGACATGGCATGTTTGGTTTCTTGACCGCGTGCAGGGTTCTTGCTCGCGTGGGTGTGTTTGCGCAGAGCGCTTAATTGCGTGCCTGTGTGATGAAGTATTTGTGCTTGGGCGTGGCCAAACTTGTTCAAGCCTTTGCTTTGAAGCCATTTTCTCGCACGTTTTGGCGTTTTGGCGGTGTGAGGCGCGTGTGAGCTGCAACTGTCCGATTGTTTGTGTGGAGCAGGCGACGCATGTTTGACAGAATATTTGCAGTGTGAGCCATGTGCGCAGTTTTGAAAGGAAGCCCTGACGCTTCCCCTTTTTCCCCTTCTTCTGTGTTCGTGCGTTTCCCAGAGAGAGAGAGAGAGAGTGTGTGTGTGTGTGAGGCTTGGGCATGGCCTTGTTCCTTAGCGTGTGTGTGTGTGTGTGTGTTTGTCCGTCCGGAACGGTCGGATCTGCTTGGGCTCACAGAATGTGGCTTGCGACAGCTGTGATAGGGTGGCAGGCAGCGGTGCTCACGGGGTTGGCGTTGTTTTTGGGCTTGTGTTCTGTGGTAGCGGAGCTTCGCGCTCGAGCTGACGGTCCTTCCACAGGCCAATGCAGCTCCCTTCCCCCAACGGGTCAGAATGTGGCACACGGGAGCTTTGACAGGGTGGCAGTCAGTGACCCGCGCGGGCTGGACTTCCACGCGCGTGTCGGCGTTGTTATTCAGCTTGTGCTCTGTGGTAGCGGAGCTCCGCGCTCAAGCTGACCGTCCTTCCACAGGGGCCACCGCAGCTCCCCTCCCCCTTCCCCCCCACCAAGACAATGATGTGGAGGTGAGGAGCGTGTGGCCGGTCAGATAGAGGTTCGGCGGCCACGCGGTCCAGGGTGGGAAAGTAGGCGCAGCCTGTGCGCTTTCCTCTGCCTGGCGGTGCGCGCGCGTGTCCGGGGCCAAGTCCTTGCAAGGCCCTTTTCCAGAGGAAGCGCCGTGGAAAGCGCCTGGCTGGGAGCCCTCTGCGAGGATGTCACCCCTGCGAGGATGTTACGATGTCTTGCGTTTATGGGCTGGACTTGTGGCGGGGCTGGCAGTGTGCTTAGGCCTCTTACGCGCGCGCAAAGAGATTCTGCATCATTCTGCATCATTGATGTGACGGTGGAAGTTCGTGACGTTGGATTGTGGATTCCGGCTCAAATCATTGTTAGGTTGGGGCACGGGGAAGGGTGGCTGGCTGCAGCCCAGTTAGGTTGGGGCACGGGGAAGGGTGACTGGCCGCAGCCCAGTGCCCTTGTGCGCGATGAGCGGTAGCAGTGGCTCCTTCACTAGAAGCAGCAGCAGTAGCTCCACAAGTTCTGATTCCCTGGCATCTTCAGAAGTGCCCGAGCATGTCGCTGAGGAGGAAGTCTTGGATTTGGAGGAAGGTGCTAGCAGTGACGATGAAGGCTGCGACCGATTTGCGAACATGTCGGCAGCAAAGCCAGACCTGAGCTACCGAGGCCACACAGTCCATTTCTGGACGATCCCGTACTCAGCCATCGAGGGCCGTTTGACTGCAGAAAACACATCCAAGAAGGGCATGCTGCGGCGTTTTCGAGAAGTCTACGGCGAGGCTTTGGAATTCTACGCTGTTTTCCGGGAACTGCATGCTGAATCCTCACGAAGCTGGGAGCGCAAGGCTCACTACCATGTGGTCTTGAAGCTGAAGGGCCGTGTCCGGTGGATTCAGATTGCCCGCGAGCTGCGCGCCAGGGGCATCTTCGGGCATTTGTCCTTGCCGACCAGGTGTGCAGATATCTGGCGCATTGTAGCGTATTGCTATGTGCCTTCTGCCAGGAAGCCCTTGCCAGAACTTGATCCCGATCCCTTGCTGAGCTCAAACTTCCCCATTATTGACATGGAGAAGCGGCTCCGCGGGAAGCTTGCCAGAACACAAGTTCTGAGGCCATGGGATTTTTTCCAAGTCTTGCGAAGACACCCGAGCATCGAGACCTACAACGACCTCATTGTCTGGGCGCAGTCCCAGCAGAAGCACGGGGTGCCTCAATACTTGGAGTTTATGACCAGGCAAGGTGGCAAGATGTCTGGGCTCTTCAAGGCATGGAAGCAGCTCATGGCTAAGCCTGTGAGCCAAAAGTCGCAACGGGAGGAGCGATTGCGCTACTGGCAGGCTTCAAGGCAGGCGCCCTGTTCTTGCACAACGCCAGGCCGCTTGAGGTCTGGCCTGGATGCCTTGATGGTGCGCGAGAAGGATGGTGAGAGGTTTGGCTACTTCGTCAAACGGCTTATCCGCATTGGGACAGCGGCCAAGAATTGCAACATCTTGCTTTGCGGGGCTTCCAATGCGGGGAAGACTGCCCTCACAAGGCCGTTGATGGCTATGTTTTCTCACCGCTGCTGGATGCGTCCTAACAAGGGCGACACGTTCCCCTTAGAGTCGTTGCAGGACAAGCTGATCAGCTGCTGGCAGGATTGGAGGCCAGGGGCTTTGTTTTTAGAGGTGGCTGCTAGCTTTTTAAGGGAGGGCCGTTGGGGGGCCAGTTGGCCGCGACTGTCAATCTGTGTTGCGCAGGCAGAATTCCTGCCCGGTGGCCTGGGACACCCTGCTCTTGCTTCTGGAGGGCGAAGCTGTGGTAGCTGCTTGCAAGGGCTCGGCGTCGGTGGTCATTTCCGAGCCGCCGCCTTTTCTCATCACGTGCCAGGAGCGCGTTGTGCCGCTAGATGCGAATGGTCGCCCCAATGTTGCCGAGAAGGATGCCTTCCACAATCGGTTTGCCTTGCGGTGGCATCTGAAATGCAGCATTCCGTCTTCAATGAAGGATTCGCAAATGAAGATGTGCTACCGCTGCGTGCGTTGCTACTCAGACTGGGTGGATGAGAAGCACGCTGCCTATGCAGAGAAGGCCCCGGACATCGAGGCAGAGACTGCAGCGCTGGAATCGGCCATCTGCCAAGAGGACTCAAGGGTGCCCGCTTTGCAAGAAGAAGAAGAACTTTCAGGGGCCACGACCCAGCCGTTGCTGGCCGCGCAGTCTGCTGACCCGCGTTCATCGCAGTTGCAGCCATCCGGTGCAGCGGTTCGGCCTCAGCCAGCGCAGCTAGACGAGTTGAATCCCGCCGAGGAGCTTAAAGGCGATGGCTCCGAACCTTTCCAAGATCGACGAGTTCGCCCCCGGCTCGAGCCGGCCGTTGCTTCTTCACCGGCACCGGCGGAGGAGTTCCCGGGACCGGAAGAAGGCAACCAGCCGAGCCAGCCCTTGGTGCCTTCCCATGTGGAGATGCTGCCTGCTCCACGAACGCCTGAGCCGTGGACCCCACCGTACCCGCCTCCAAGGACGCCCCCCATCGTTTCGCAAGCCGTCAAAGGCAGCGGTTGGGTGGAGGTGAGCCCTCTGCACGCCCGCCGTGATTTGCAATAGTGTTGCAACGCAAGGACTCCCGGTTGGCATTGGCTGCAAAGACGTAAGCCCATTGCCGGAGCATGTTACACGCCGCGCAAAAGGCGTGCTTTTTGTTTAGGTCTTTGTCCGGCCAGATGTCCTCGGGTGCATTGTGCGGGCGTGTGCAGGTGGTTCTGCTTGCTGGCTGAAAGGGTGTTGGAGCTCCCGCAGTTGATACGTCGGAGTTGACGTCCTTGCGACAGTTGTGATAGGGTGGCAGTCAGTAGCGCTCACGGACTTCCCCCGCGCATATCGGCGTTGCTTTCAATGCTTTTGCCATTGACGCGCGCAGGCTTCCCGCGCGTGTTGGCGTTGTTTCAACTGCTTTGGTCCCAGGTGCATGAGAGAGCCCTGGTTAAGGGCTAAGTAAGGGCTAAGTAGCAAGGCTTCTGGCCTACACAGTGCCTCTTGCTTGGCGTCGCTGTGCAAGTGTGTTCGTGCTTGCGCGGGCGCGTGCGCGCGCGTGTGGCTGCGAGCGTGTGTGCGCGCGCAGCGGCGTAAACCCGTTACCTTCACTTGTTTTGTTGCTTACGCGGGCGCGTGCGCGCGCGCGCGCGTGGCTGCGAACGTCTGGCGTGCGCGTGGGCGCATGCACGTGTGCGCGCGCAGCGGCGGAAACCGGTTACCCTCACTTGTTTTGTTGCTTGCGCGGAACGTGCGCGCGCGCGTGGCTGCGAGTGTGTGTGCGCGCGCGTGGGCGCATGCATGTGTGCGCGCGCAGCGGCGTAAACCAGTTACCCTCGCTTGTTTTGTTGCTTACGCGGAACATGCGCGCGCGCGTGTGCGCGCGCGTGGGCGCATGCATGTGCGCGCGCAGCGGCGTAAACCAGTTACCCTCGCTTGTTTTGTTGCTTACGCGGAACATGCGCGCGCGCGCGTGGGCGCATGCATGTGTGTGCGCGCAGCGGCGTAAACCTGTTACCCTCACTGGTTTTGTTTGTCAGAGGTGAAAGTCTTGGATTTGTTGAAGACGGGCTGCCGCAAAGGCGTTTGCCAAGCATGTTTTCATTGATCAAGAACGAAAGTTAGGCCATCGAGGCAATTTGATTTTTGGCTAGGGTGCACATCTGGCTCTGCTTTGACATCTTACTGGAGATCGTGCCAGCGCTTCATTGTGTGGCACGGCGTTTAAGGTTTTACCTTGGGTACATTTTTGCCAGCAAGCGTGTTGTTGCCTGCAAAGAGACGTACAAGACTCAGACTTGGATGCCCATCATGAAGATGAAGCCTGCGCACGCTTGCAAAAGGGAACTGAGGTCCTATCTGGTTATTCCTGCACGTCTGCTTCCGTGCAGGCAAGACTTGGCTCGATTTCTGGAAACACCCGTCTTTCCTGCGAGAAGAAAACACACTGTGCCACCAGTCAATGGTGCAGATCGAGAGGGATAGTTGGGGGCATTCGTATTTCACTGTGACGTTCTTGGATTTGTTAAAGGCGGACTTCTGCGAAAACATTTGCCAAGGATGTTTTCATTGATCAAGAACGAAAGGTAGGGGGTCGAAAGAAGCAGATACCGTCCTAGCCTTGACCATAAAGCCACAGATTGGATTGAACGACTCCTTCAGCACCTCACGAGAAATCAAATTCTTTGGGTTGCCGAATTTCGGGGGGAGTATGGTCGCCCGCCTGTATTGGTTGGTTGGTTTTTCGCTTTTGGCTCAAGTGAGCGCTGCCGCGCTTTGTCCAACCAAGCTGGAAGAAGCAATCCGATCTTGGGTTGCGTTGGCCCCTGTGGTCCGGATTGGTAATGGATTTTGTAGGCCCCGGATCTATTCCTGCGATAATCCTGTTGGTGAAGGCCCTGGGATTGTTGGTGAAAGTGTGATGAACAGACACAGCCCCCGAGGGGCTAGTTCTTTAACTGCCTCGGGTCTCAGAAAGCCTTGGTGGAGGGTTAGTTTTCATTGCTCCGGATTTTTGGGGACCTTGGCCCAGCTTTGCGCGGACTGGTCTCAGGCGAATTTCTGTACATTGCGAAAATTTCAGAGAGCAACCGAGCAACCTTGTCAAGCAGAAAAAAACTGTCCAACAAAACTTTTTCTTTATTGCTCCGAAGTTGCTCGGTTGCACAGCCTCAATTTCACTGTTCTGCGCTGGCCAGGCCCACCGCCTGGGCAGCAGGCCTTGCAAGCTGGTAGCTTGCAAAGGCTGCCAAAAAATCCGCCCTGCTGAAAACCGCCAGTCCGGCAGCAAAGGCTGCCCGGCAGCAAAGGCTGCCCAAAAAATCCGCCTTACGGAAAAGCGCCAGTCCGGCAGCAAAGGCTGCCCAAAAATTCCGCCTTACGGAAACAGCGCCAGTCCGGCAGCAAAGGCTGCCAAAAAATCCGCCTTACGGAAAAGCGCCAGTCCGGCAGCAAAAGCCGCCCAAAAAATCCGCCTTGCTGAAAAGCGCCAGTCCGGCAGCAAAGGCTGCCCAAAAAATCCGCCTTACGGAAAAGCGCCAGTCCGGCAGCAAAGGCTGCCCAAAAAATCCGCCTTACCGAAAAGCGCCAGTCCGGCAGCAAAGGCTGCCCAAAAATTCCGCCTTACGGAAAAGCGCCAGTCCGGCAGCAAAAGTTGCCCAAAAAATCCGCCTTGCTGAAAAGCGCCAGTCCGGCAGCAAAGGCTGCCCAAAAAATCCGCCTTACGGAAAAGCGCCAGTCCGGCAGCAAAGGCTGCCCAAAAAATCCGCCTTACCGAAAAGCGCCAGTCCGGCAGCAAAGGCTGCCCAAAAATTCCGCCTTACGGAAAAGCGCCAGTCCGGCAGCAAAGGTGCCCAAAAAATCCGCCTTGCGAAAAGCGCCAGTCCGGCAGCAAAGGCTGCCAAAAAAATCCGCCTTACGGAAAAGCGCCAGTCCGGCAGCAAAGGCTGCCAAAAAATCCGCCTTACTGAAAAGCGCCAGTCCGGCAGCAAAGGCTGCCAAAAAATCCGCCTTACTGAAAAGCGCCAGTCCGGCAGCAAAGGCTGCCAAAAAATCCGCCTTACTGAAAAGCGCCAGTCCGGCAGCAAAGGCTGCCACATTTGTTAGATTTTTTTTAGCATTTGTTAGCTTTTGTTAGCTTTTGCTAGAGTTCGTTAGCTTTTCGGAGCTTTTGGCGCCATTTGTTGCCTTTTTGTAAACTTCAGCAGGTTTTGGGGGGGGGGAGGCTGCAAACACTTTTGTCACGCTGGGCTGCCTTAATGCGTGAAATGTGACACAAAACCCATCGCGCGCCATGAGCGTTTTAGCTGAGAAGCAGTAACATGTTTGCAGAAATGGCCAGGCGAGCAGTTCAGGGGCCAGCGAAGACTAGGGATTGTTCTGCGGTGTCTCCATAGGTGCTTTGTAAGAGGCCCGGCTCCGCGCAAGCAACTGAACGTATCTTGGGGACGGAGGCAAGCGACCCAGCCACCCAGCCGCCCAAGTGAACGTTCTTCCAAACATGGCGCGGGGTTAAGGGTGGACTGCCTCATAACGAGGCATTTTCTTTTTGTTGCCAGTTCATGCTCTTGAAAGCCTTGTTGGATTTTTTGCTGCACAGTTGCTGCGTTAGCCTTTTTTAGCTTTTGTTAGTTGTCTGTTAGCTTTCTATAGCTTTCTGTAGATTTTTGTAGCTCCCAGCAGGTTTCTTATTGGAATTTGTTAGCTCCAGCATGTTGGCCCGCGCGCTTGAAGCAGGCTGTTTCAAAGCGGTATGTTACATGTTTCAATGAGACTTGGCGTAGTCCCTGCCAGCCAGTCCCTTGTCAGTGCTGTTTTTTTTTCCTCCGCGCCTTCGGCGCGGATGCCTGCTTTTTTTCTCCCAAAAGCATCTCTGATGCGATGGGTTCTCGTGTAGTCGAAGTTTTCCGCGATGGGAGCCTGGGTTGCAACCGGTGGCCGGCAGGTTTTTAAGTGCGAGGCTTGCGATCCAAGATCGGAACAAAGATCTTCGAGCGCCACTTTTCGGAGCCATCAGTGGGGGGGCACTTTGTGGACTTGCTTTTGGGTTCCCAGGCTCACCTTATTTCTCCGCGCCTTCGGCGCAGACTTAGTTTTAGTTACTCGGTGCTGCGTAACGCGGTAACGTGCGCGTGTGTGTCTCGTATTTGGTTGGTCTTCGTGGCGCGCGCCTGTCCGTCAAGTGTTGCCAGCGATGAGCGCTGCAGGGGGGCACTTTCGGGGTCCGTGTTCACGCCTGCCTTGCGCGGACGAATTCTAGGTCCTCTCCTGTGCGCGCCCAGCGGTTATAAACAAGATGTTTCCAGCGTGCTCAGTCGGCAGCTCTGCGCGCAGAAGCAGTGTCGGTGGATTTGCAAGGTTGTGTGTGTGTGTGCGCGGGCGTCTCTGTATCTCTGCATTTGGGCGCATTTCGGACAGCAGTGTGTGTATGTGCTTCAGACGGCAGGGTTGCCAGCTTCAAGCCAGTCCCTGGCCGATGGCGGACTTAAGAAAGGAGATAGCCCGGCTCCAGAAGCGACAGCAAAGGGAAGCTCGGCATTTGGAGAGAGCTGGCCTAACCCCACGCCAGAAGAAGCTTGTTCTCACTGTGTACATGTGCAGCGGCTTCTGCGTGGATGCGGCGCAAGGCTTTGTGGAGGTTCTTCAACGCAAACGGAAATCTTGCCAGGGGCAGCCGACTCCTGATGTTGTTGAGTGGTTCAACTCCTTGCCAGAGGAGGAGATGGTGCGACTCTGCTGGCCGGAGGCGCCCGCTGATGAGCGCATCTTGGCCGAAGCTGAAAGGCATGTAGCAGGACTTCAGACTTCGCGCTGGGTGCAAGACATGAATTACAGCCGCGGCGTTGCCGTGCCAACTTACAACGTCGCAGCCGAATATCGGCGGCGTGCAGGAGGGCAGCAGCCAGCGCTGCAGAGCTCCATGCTTGGTCGTGATGGCCGGCGTGGCCGGCCCGGCCGCTATCTACGATTGTGGGCGCAACGATTTCGCGCCAAGTGGGGCCTTGCTTACCAACGTATCCCGGCATGCTCTTTTCTCCCTGCCGAGGAACTTGTGGAGAAGGCTGGGCCGGAACAAACACGCGTGCTTGCGCATGTTATCTTTTCAAGCGACCTTTGCCTTGAAGACGCCGGGGGGGGGCTAATTTTTGACCCTTCTTCCTGCTCTTCCCAAAAGAGGAAATCTCTTGCGGGGGGCAAAAACTTGCCCCCCGCTTCTGGTCTTCCCGAAAGACGAAATCTCTTGCGGGGGGCCAAAACCCGCCCCGCCAAAACTGGCTCAAAATGCGCCCCCGCGCCCTGCCAGGCAAAGCTGTTTTTCCATTGGATAGACTGGCTTGAGCAGCAAGCTGGAGTGTTCCACAAAGAATTGGCCTTTGTCAACCTGGATGAGTCTTCTCTTCAGCTATCCTTTCTGCACGAGAAAGGCACGGTGGTGAAGCGGTCTCAATGGCGACAAGGAGTGGGGCCAAAGCGGGCGCGCCCGTCTCGAGGCGCTGTAACTTTGATTTGTTTGAGTTCGGCAGACCCTGCTCTGCAACGGCGGCTGCGCCAATACTTGGTTGGAAACAAATCCATATTCTTGCAAAAAGATTTGCGGGCTGTGCGCGACGCGCAGCCAGAGAACATTCGTGTTTTTCGTGAGACATCATCCTGGGCAACTAGCCAGTTGATCACCGAGGTGTTGTCAGATCTGGAGACTCTGGCTGCTTCGTTTCCTTCCAAGCAGCTGTGCGTTGTGATGGACAGCGCCGCGCAGCACCTGAGTGAACGCGTGGTGCGAAGGGCTGCCGATGCCAATATCTGGCTTTGCGTGGTGCCGCCGAAAGCCACAAGCTACATGCAACCCCTCGATGTGCAAACCTTCAGTCTTTTGAAACATCATCTGAAAGACAAGTTCACGGAGGTGGCTATGTCTGCCGCAGGCGGTGTTGTCTCGCGACAAGCGTGGCTTCGCGTGCTCTTCGGCCTGTGCGAGTTTATGAACAGCCGAGAGTGGCGAAGAGGCTTTGAAGCATGTGGCATTTGTGGCCGGGGCAACCTTTCCACAGAGCTTTCTAGGCTAGGTCTTGCAAACTACAGGGCAGCCGCCGTAGGCGGAGTTGTGCCCATGCCAGAACCTCACATTTTTGCTGGCCACTACTCTAAGAGCCTGGTCCGTCAGTTTTATTTGCTGTTGCAGCCAACGCTCCCGGTCTTAGACTAAGGGCTTGTTCCATGTGTGCAGTAAGCGCAGGGCGTACCGTCATGCACAGTGGAGGATCTAGCGTGTGTCTGCGAAACAGGGCCATTTTCGGGGACCGATTTCGGGTCCGCTTTACCGCGCACATGCCTTTTGCTTGTAAGTTGCCAGAGGAAAGAAAGGGATGCCAGGCCAAGATCACGCAACCGTTTGAGCGTTGGACGTGTAGTCGGAGTTGCGCGAATGCCTGGGGATCAAGACCAGGAAGGCTGCGTTTCACGCTTGTTTTCCTGTTGGGGCTGCCGCTGTGGCTGCTTGCCGGCGTTGCCAGAAAGCGCAACGGCAACGCAGCGCCGCCGGGGGTAAAATGAATCCAGCTTATGTTTGGGCTGCAGGCCTGTTGCGTGCAGATTGTGAAGCAACTTTGGCAAGCAAGGTGATTGCGATGTGTTGCTTGCAGCGTGAAGCTCAGAAACCTGCTCTGCGAAGCCTGCAGGACACAGCCCATGGAAGGATCCAACGCTCCAGCGCCTCCTGCGGCTCCTGCCTTTACATCAAGCCAGGAAAAGTTGCCAGAGGAGAAGGAGAAGTTGAAGGAGAAAGCTCCAGCATCAGCGTCTGCCACAGCTTCTGCCACTCAATCAGTCTTGCAAAAGCTGAAAGAGAAGCGTTCGATGCTCGCAGCCGAGAAGCGGCAAGTTGCCAAGCAAGTCCGCAAGGAAGCGAAACGCCTGGCCAAAATTAAGAAGGGTCTTGGGCGCTTGACAGAGTCGGAGATGCGCGAATGCCTGGAGATTAAAACCAAGAAGGCTGTGTGAGTTTCGCCTATGCCGAATGCCTGGAGATCAAGACCAATTGTGGCTGTGTGATTTTCACGTGTGCTGAATGCCTGGAGAGGAAGACCAAGTGGCTCTCTGAGCTTTGCGCTTGTTTTCCTCTTGTGGCTGCTGCTGGCGTTGCCAGAAAGTGCAACGGCGATGCGGCGCTGTAAAGTTGAAAAAGAAGTTGGCGCGTGGCATTTGTTTGAGTAAGCGTGGTCAGACGGATGTCAGTCAACCATGCTTTGGCGTTTTCACAGTGCGTGGCATGAGCAGACATGGCATGTTTGGTTTCTTGACCGCGTGCAGGGTTCTTGCTCGCGTGGGTGTGTTTGCGCAGCGCTTAATTGCGTGCCTGTGTGCATGATGAAGTTTTTGTGCTTGGGCGTGGCCAAACTTGTTCAAGCCTTTGCTTTGAAGCCATTTTCTCGCACGTTTTGGCGTTTTGGCGGTGTGAGGCGCGTGTGAGCTGCAACTGTCCGATTGTTTGTGTGGAGCAGGCGACGCATGTTTGACAGAATATTTGCAGTGTGAGCCATGTGCGCAGTTTTGAAAGGAAGCCCTGACGCTTCCCCTTTTTCCCCTTCTTCTGTGTTCGTGCGTTTCCCAGAGAGAGAGAGAGAGAGTGTGTGTGTGTGTGTGAGGCTTGGGCATGGCCTTGTTCCTTAGCGTGTGTGTGTGTGTGTGTGTTTGTCCGTCCGGAACGGTCGGATCTGCTTGGGCTCACAGAATGTGGCTTGCGACAGCTGTGATAGGGTGGCAGGCAGCGGTGCTCACGGGGTTGGCGTTGTTTTTGGGCTTGTGTTCTGTGGTAGCGGAGCTTCGCGCTCGAGCTGACGGTCCTTCCACAGGCCAATGCAGCTCCCTTCCCCCAACGGGTCAGAATGTGGCAGTCAGTGACCCGCGCGGGCTGGACTTCCACGCGCGTGTCGGCGTTGTTATTCAGCTTGTGCTCTGTGGTAGCGGAGCTCCGCGCTCAAGCTGACCGTCCTTCCACAGGGGCCACCGCAGCTCCCCTCCCCCTTCCCCCCCACCAAGACAATGATGTGGAGGTGAGGAGCGTGTGGCCGGGCAGATAGAGGTTTGGCGGCCACGCGGTCCAGGGTGGGAAAGTAGGCGCAGCCTGTGCGCTTTCCTCTGCCTGGCGGTGCGCGCGCGTGTCCGGGGCCAAGTCCTTGCAAGGCCCTTTTCCAGAGGAAGCGCCGTGGAAAGCGCCTGGCTGGGAGCCCTCTGCGAGGATGTCACCCCTGCGAGGATGTTACGATGTCTTGCGTTTATGGGCTGGACTTGTGGCGGGGCTGGCAGTGTGCTTAGGCCTCTTACGCGCGCGCAAAGAGATTCTGCATTGTTAAAACCCTCTAGGCCCCGTGCCGAAATTGGGTAGCTGTTCTGAGGTCCTTGTTGGTGTTGCTTCCCAAGTTCCACTGATCGCCATTTGGCTCAAGACACAATTGAGGTTCAAGATCTGATGTGTGACTGCGAATAGACGTGACGGGCATCAAGAGTGAAAACAACAGCCTGCGCTGCATTTGTCAGGACTGCTGGTGTATCTATTATTCCTTCTTCCTTACAACGTTTACACGGGTTCGGCTATAACGGCATCGTCCGTATACACCTTTCCACGTGGTTGGTATTAAAGCTTGAGGGTTCGGTGCACAGCGTCCCACGGGACGTCACCTTGCCGTCTCTTGACAGGTTATCAGCCGGATCTACAAGCTCTACACTGGACTGGGAGACAGCTGGTTTATTGCGGGTACAGGGACAATAAAGGAACGATAACATACACAGTACAATGGCGTCTTCGGCCGGGCGCCCCCCCCACCCCTAATGGGCGTTATGGGGGGGGGGGCGTGGGGGGGTCGCTCCCCCCCCCCCCACCGTCACGTTGTTTTTCTTTTTTACTTTATTTTTTTAAGGGCGAGCCCAAGTACTGCAACTTTTGGGAACAGCAGCTCAGAGGGATCCAATGGAGTGATGGCTCTTCCTGCGGTGATGGATATGATTGCAGATTCACAGGATGAACCTGGGAGCGGAGGTTCCGCGCCATTCAGCGACATATCTACTCCCACAAGATCATGGAAGCAGATCGATGTTCATCAGGAGTCGAAGAAAAGAGAATCCCCACCGAGAAGATCATCATCTTCGCCTGCGACACCACGGACGTCGCAGAAGGGCGTGAGATCGACATCGAAGGGTGGAGGTCAAAATCACCCACCAGTGCAGATTTTCGCGCCGTGATCAAAGAGAAGAATAAGATGGAGGTGGAGATCGGGGAATATCAAAAGACACTTGATGAAATGTCGGCAGCAATGGCGAATCTTAATCAAGAAGACTATGGAAGCACCATCCGGATCCAGGAGCTGGAAAGACGATGCGAGATTGCCAGCAAGCAGTCGGGACATCTAGTGAGTCACCACCAACACCACATGGCTGATGCATGGCGCAAGTTTGAGGAAGAAGCCCAACAGATGCGCAAGGTGGAAATGAACGCATTTCAGTACGGGGAGAAGAAAGACATGGAGTCGAATATTATGATGCAACAGATGAGGCAAGCTGAAGGAACTATCATGGATCAGAAGCGGGAGATTGCATTGATGAGATCCTACATGGCAAGCGAGAAGTCGGCCGCGCAGGAATCAGCTATACGTGCAAATCAGATACACCGTGAGGCTTCACAACAGATATCAGCTTATCAGCAACAGATCAGAGGCATAGAATCCTCTACATCTATCGAGAAGTTCAACGAGGAGGAGATGGTCCAAAGTCTGAAATCACAGTTGGAGCATGCACTCGTCAAGCGCCCCGAGACGTACTCTTTGGAGGACTCCAGGGAACAGCTGATGGCGAGGCTGAATGACGTTACAGTATTGGCGGAACAGGAATCGAAGAGAGCAGATTGCTTGCTTCGCGAAAAAGAAGAGATCGTCAAACAGTATGAGTCCGACGTGTCGATGATGGACCAGATGATTGCTGTTGAAGGTGGTCATCGTCAGGATGCGATCTTGGAGTTAGCCCAGGTCAAAGAAGAGAAACAAGAGGAACGGTGCACGATGGACGAGAAGTCGAAGGAGGCCGAGTACTGGAGATTGACAGCTAAGGGAATGTACGATGAGTACCTCGAGGAGATGCATGAGCTTCAGGGACAACTGAAGGAAAGAGAGGCGACGCTCAAGCAAGAAGAGAGTTTTGTACGCCAACTCGATGCTGACAACGAGGAACTACGTACACACAAGAAGCTGGAGACACAGGAAGCCTCCAGCAGCAAAGATGGACATCGTGAACGTGCAGTAGTGAGGCGCGCTGAGGGAGGAACCCAGGCTAATTCAAATAGGGTAGACAAGAAGGTGGCTGGGTCAGTCCCGTCATCGTCTTCAAATCAAATCCCTAATTCGTCGCTGATGCCAGGTTCGATCCTCTTTCCGTCTTTCGGTGATCCAATGATCGATGTACACCTATCCCAGATGCAAGGGGTTGTTGGGCATGTCCAACAATCCACTACTACGACTGGTGGTGGTGATGGGGGGGGAAACAACGGTACTACGCCCCCATTGGATTACGGTGGATTCCCGCCCAATGGGAATGGGCAGGGAGCGGGTCGACGTCAGTTGAGACTCACTGGTGGCGGAGGAGGACCTCCGGATGATCCACCCGATGATGAGGATGAGGATGACGACGACGAAGGAGATGAGGAAGACGAGGAAGAAGAAGAGGAAGAAGACGATCGGACTCGGAGGAGACGAAGGAGATCGAGAGATAACCGAGAGATCAAGAATGACCGACCGAGAATCTCGAGGAAAGAGGCCGAGAGAGTATCTATTCCGGCCTGGCCAAAGATCCATCAACTTGACACCTGGAAGATGCAACTGCTGATGAATGTTCTGAGCGCATGTGCAGATCCAGATACCGACGCATGGACGAAATGGCTGGAGCTGGCTCTTGGGTTGAACCCAGACCTGGATTTGCTTAGCGATTCAGGTGGCGACAGATTTGCTACGATAGATATTAAGATGGCCATGGGCATGCAGAACATGCTGAAACAAGCACCTGACGAAGCCAAGGACGTATACCTCGATGCTACACGACACTCTGAACTACGGCATCAACAAGGGGTGATCGTGAAGGGACGAGAGTTGGTGGCATTGGTTATGCAATCATTCAGGACTTCCGATAGAACGGATCTTGTCTACCACATCGAGCATTTATTCA